GGATATTCCTGAATAAACATATAAAGGAATGAAAACTTATTATTATTACTTGGGGTTCTTGTGTCGACCCAGCTTTCATTCTGAAGTGCACCGGCTTTTGAGTCCACCGGAAAACTGTGTCTTGTTTAGAAGTACCCGAGAACAACGCATATCTGAGTAAGAGCCAGTTACGGGATTTTTGATTGTTTGTGAGATAAACACGGTTTCATTTTTGTTTGAATTTGTTTATATCACATCTGTGTCTCCCACCGGAGCTGCCGCTGGACTGCGGATCTGATGTTTCACGGTACGTTTGAATAAGACTTTGCTGCACGCCGGAGTGTTACTGTATGTAACACAACATAGCGTCACGTTAGAAAGTGAATGACGACTGGTCATTTTATTGTCTGTCAGGTGCTGGCTTCACATCTGAGTGGCTTGTCTTAAAGAGGAAGCATAAATGCACGATATGTCAATCCGTTTTGAAAAACATTGGCCACATGGAAAGACTTATCGGCCGATGCCGATATTTAAAAAAATTCCAAATATATATATATATATATATCGGCGATATATCGGTAGACTACCTCTTGTATTGCTAGCCTGTGGCAGTAATATAGATAGAGTCAGTGTCAAAAGACACTTTTTTTTACTTACAGTCTCTTCAAACTCTTGCTCAGTCATGACAGTAGTTGACCTGAGAGAGAAAATTGTCTATAGAAGATGCAGCAATGCTGAGAATGCATAGGGCTCCAGACTGTGACTAAAACGGTCGCATTTGTGACCAAAAATTTTCATTTGCGAGTGATATTTTTGCTGAGATCACCACTGGCGACTATATAAATTTAAATGTTATGACTTAAAACATTTACATGTAATACCTTCTTTCCTGCTTGTTTTGTGATCACATCTTTTGTTATGTTGACGTAATAAACTGAGACGATGCGCATCAAATTTATAGTGGAAAGAACACCAGCACTGACGGAACACCTGCTAAAAGCAGCTCCAGTTGTGTCAGCATGAGAGAGATTGAAAATGACGGAGACGTGTGAAGTAATAGTGCAGACAAGCAGTGGTTGCTTTGTGCACAACTTAAACAAACTACAACAGGTAAAGCTGCCAGCTGTGTGGACATTAACAATATCGTTAACAATTCTCATTTATAATCGATAATAATATGGCTTCTTATCAAATCTCTAGTCTATACGCTGTGTTCTGTTAATGCGTGAACTTCATATTATTTTGCACACTTGCCATATAATAAATCGCAATAAGCATTGTGCTTTAGGGATGTAACGATTCACTCAACTCACGATTCGATTCACAATTTGTTTTTTTACAAAATGAGATTTAAGACAAATTATAAATTAAATGTGTCCTTTTATTATTGCTTGGACAAAATGCTGCATGTTTCTTTGTGAAATTGAAATATAACACTATAATAATATACTAATATAGCACTTGTATATTATTGCTCTTTTGTTGGTTTTGATTGCTTCTATTGTCCTCATTTGTAAGTCGCTTTGGATAAAAGCGTCTGCTAAATAACAACATTTAAATATAATGTAAATGTAAATAACGAAACTAAATTTAAATTTTAAAACAAGCCCCAAAACAAATAAATAAGTAACACAAATAAAAGAAATATCTTCATATAAACAAA